GGTTTTTTCCTGGTTGCTTCATTCAGCTGGGGTTGTTGTTGTAGGGTTGTCCATCTGCGATGAATTGGTTTGGTTAATCTTGGTCTGGTTTCTTGTGTCGTATGGCCGGCGGGACAATTCTGAGCGTGATGCTTCTCTGTATTGGTTTGCATTGTTGTGCCGCTTCTGTTGTTTCTTTTTCTTCTGTACTGTCGTCCAGTTGTTTGCTGTTGTTTCCTCCTGGTTGGGGCTGTCACTTGGTGGGTTTGTCGGTTGCCATTCCGGTGGGAGGTCGAGTTCAAGGTTCTTTAGTAGTTGCAGGGCCTCAGGTATGTTGGTAGCCATGTGTTGTGTTGTATTGGTTGTTACAATGAGGCGGAAGGGGAAGCCCCATCGGTATTTGATCCCTGCTTGTTGGAGACGCTGGGTGCATGGGCGCAAGCTTTTCCTCCGGTTTAGGGTATCCTGAGATAAGTCCTGTAAGGCCAGAATGGGGATTTCTCCATATCGAAGGTTGGTTGAGTTTCTGAGGTGGTGCCATACCTCTTCCTTCTTTTTGTAGCGTGTGAAGCATACAATGATGTCTCTTGGGGGGGCGCTGGGTTTTGGCATAGGTTTTAGGGCTCTGTGAGCCCTCTCCAAGTCATCTGCCTCAAGTTTCAGGCTTGGGATTGTGTTTTTCAGCCAGCGTATAATTAGGTTTGCTGGGCTTTTCTCCTCTGTTTTTTCAGGAAAGTTGCGGAAGCGGATGTTACAACGTCTATTGCAGTCTTCAAGGTCGGCTTGCTTAATTTTCATCTCTCTGTGTTCTGCTTCCATTTGGTTTACCAGTTCGTCCAGTTTCTTGTTCACCCATGCGTTCTCCTCCCGGTATTGCTCTATTATTCTTTCTTGCATTTGGTTCTTGTTCTCTAGAGCTTCCACTTTGGAGGTTAAATTGTTGATTAGTACCTGCATGGGAGCCATTGTGGCCTTCAGTGTTTCTTCTAATCGTGCTTCTAATCTTGCTTCCATTTCCCTCAAATCTCGTTTCGTTATTGGGTGGTCATCATCTTGAAGGGGAGTTACCGTCTTAGCATTGTTTGTCATCTCCCTGGTTGGTGTCATCTCAGTCTCCCTGATGGTTTTGGTTTGAGGTTGGCTTGGCGTCCTCTTGGTTAGGAGTTGTGGCAGTGGTGATTCCTGGGTATTGTTGGGTTGCTGAGCTGATCAGGCGTTCTAGGCTGGTGGCCTTTACAGAGTGTTTGGATTAGGTGGTCATTTGTGTCACTTCTAGCCTGTGTTTTAAGAACTTCTCTAGGGTTTCTGTAGTTGCCTTAGCAGTGCCGCCAAAGCGGGGGGGGGGCAGGTAAGCAGAGATGGGTAGACTAACGGACAGACAGTTCATATAAGGGGTGTGGGTTAGCAGGTAGAGATGCAAAAGGTTAGAGGGGTGGGGCCAGGGGAAATATGTGTTTAGGAGCGGGTTGTATATACCCAAAAGGGGTACTGGGGTCCACTTAAGGTGGGAGTTGGGGTTGGGAGTGCGCTCAGAAACAGAGACAGACAAATAGGCTATATGTAAAGGGTGGAGGGAGAAAAAGGAAGAAGAAGAAAGAAAGAAGAAGATGGGGGGAGACGGGGAGATTGGAGTAAAAGAAGAGAGAGAGAGAGAGAGAGAGAGAGAGACAAAAAGAGAGTTGAAAGAGAGAGGAGAGATGGTACAGTAATATCAGCGGTAATAGATTGCAGCAATAGTTTTAGCTATAGTATGGGGGGGCAGAGTATGATACGGTGATATGAATGTGTGTATGTGTTTCCTTTAGGAGAAGGGGAGGGGGGATGGAGAAAGGGAGGAGGGAGAGAGAAGGAGAGGAGGAGGGGGAAGGATGGGAAAAGGAAGGAGAAGAAAAGCGAGGGGGAGGGAGGGTGAACTGTGGCAATGGTATGGGGGGAAAGTCTTATTTTAAAAGGGGGGGGAAAGGGCTCCCCCCTCAAAAACAAACTGAAAAACAGGCTAAAAAGGGGGGGGTTGATTTTAAAAAATAAAGGGGATAGAAAACAAAGTTGGGGATGGAAAGTGAAGGGTGGGATAAAAGGAAGAAATAAGGAGGGGTGAAGAGAGAGAGAGAGGAGAGCAAAAAGGAGGAGAAAAATAAAAGGGGGGAGTTGAGGGGGAGAGTATCAATAGCAATAGCAGTGATATGGAGAATTTTTTTGTTTTAAAAGAGAGTGGTGGTCATAGCAGGGGGCGAAGGATTCCCCCCTCAAGAAGAAGCTAACAATTAGAATAGAAAGGGCTTTAAAAAGAGGGGGAAAAATTGTGTGTGTTTTTTTTCTTAAAAAAAACAAAACTATTTCCCCCTAATTATTATTATTATCCTTTGTTTGTAAAAAAGTAATTAAAAATGTACAGGTAAAAGATAAAAATGAGAAATAAAGGTTAAAAAAAAGGTTTTTTGTTTTTATATATATATAGATGGATAAAGTTATTTTATTTTTAAAAATGTGTAACGTACGAAGAGGATAGGTAAAAGAGAGTGGAAAGTCTGGGGCGAAGTGGCAGTCCCAGGAAATGACCTGTGTTGTTTCAGGGCTCTTTTCTGGATACTGCCATTTTAATTCTTAAGAGGGGAGTTTGAGGTGAAAATAAAATGAGGTTTAAATTGAGGGTGTGTGTGTGGAAAAGTGTGTCTTTAGATAGTGTGTAGAAAAGGTAGAAATAAAAATAAAAATTCAAATAAAGGGTGGCTGCAGCAGCAGTGGCCCCTCTTTTAAAAAGAAAAGTGATAAAAGTCGGTATATGGGGGGGGGGGATAAAAGATATTTTTTTAAAAAAGGGAGGGGAGGAAGGGGTTAAAAAAAGGGGGGGTTTTTTTAAAAAAGAAAGGGGGGAAAAAGGTAGTTTCTTCCTTTCTGCGATCTCCTTTGTTATGCGGCTTCTCTCTGTTTTCCTTGCCGCTGGAGCTCCCGGTCGGGCTCAGCCACGTGTTTTTTCCGGAGCCTCTTTTGCCTTCCCGTGCTCACCTACCTCTCCTCGGCAGCAGCGATAAAGTTGGGGCTCCTTTTTCTTTCTTCCTTTTTCTTCCTCTCTCCCCCTTTCTTTCTCCCTCTTTGCGTTAGCTCCACTGTCCTCTTGGTTTTGGAGCTCCTCTCGGCTGTTGGGGGGGGGGTCGGGTGCCTTTCCGGCTCAATCTCAGTCGTGGGTGTGTGTGTTTTGGCTCTTTTGATAGACGCCCGGGCACCCCCGATTCCTCTCCGCTGGCGGTGCTGGTGGCAGCAGTCCTGGGAGCCTGGGAGTCGGCCAGACAGAGCCTTTTACTCTGGCTGGCTTCAGGAGCTCTTTTCTGCTGTTGCAGCCGCCATGCTGCCTCGCCGGAACTCCCCCTGGGGATGGGGTTCTTCAACTGCAGCAGTCGTCTCCACTCGCTGCATGTGAGCAGGTCTGGCAGCCATAGTGGTTCCCTCTGGGGTCAATACTCGACCACCTGTGCATTTGGTGTCGGAGCAGACATCCTGAGGTGGCTTCTTCAGCTGCTGCTCTTTGTGACTCTTAGTCTGGAGTTGGGGCAATGCCCTTTGGAAAACCTTTTTTAAAAAAACCAAACAAAATAATATTTATTAAAATTTCAAAAGAAGAAAAATCACATTAATAAGAAAATTAACAATAAAAAGGAAAAATACAAAGTATAAAAAAGAAAAAACAGTTAAAAACAATTCCATCTTTTCATCACTTCTTTTACGTTTACTTGTTTCCCGGACCTCCTCATACCTCCCTCTTTTGTATTCCAATTCAATTTGTTAATCCAGCAGCCTAATTAGAGCCTCCGGTTTCAACTAAGCGTTTTTATTTGTTTAAGCCTCTTCAGGACCCCAAAACTGCACCTTAAGGACCTTAAAGACTGTTGGCTGTCTGCCTTGTCGCCTCGTTTTAATTAGTTTATTCTTTTATTCTTTTATTGTTTTATTGTTTTATCGTCGCACTGTTTACTGATACTGCTACTTGAACTTACAACCTTGGAGCTCCCGGACGACGGATTGGCTTGAAATACAACCAAAGAAGCAGAGGAAACCGCTGAACTCCAGTGAGCCTAACCTCGATAAGATAAGTCCAAGAACTCCCCCATGAATACCCTCCCGCCCCAAGCTAAGGCTTAAAGAGGGAAAGGTAGGGAGGCTCCCTGATCCAACAGCCTGGACACCGGTTTTCCAAACTTTACCTCTAACTTTATTTCTACAATAAAGGGAAGCTTACAACCTAGAGAATGGTGTTTACAAGACAGAGCTATAAAGAGCTGGGAATTCCCCTCACCAAAGCGGCTGAACCCTCTACAAGAGGAAGGCAGGTGAAAATCTCACAATATTTTAAACCGAAAACAGACAAAATAAATAATGCTGACAAACGACACCCCCACGAATGGTCCATAGACAGCACCAGGTACGGGGAGCTAATGGAAACAGATGAAGAAGGGGTGGGAGTCAATCTGGCAACGGAAATAAAACAAGCTGCCATAGAAGATGAAACCTCAGTGAATCAACCGGGGCTGGAGCAGGAACAAGAGTCACAAGAGGAAAACCCAGTAATTAAGACAGATGAGCCCTCCCAGGGACCAGGGCCCGGGGAGAAGATGGGGTTTCACATTGTGACGAATGGGGACCTGGAGGACACAAGAGCCCAATATCTGGACTTGGACTCCCTCCCCTAGATACTAACAGGGCTATATAATGATCTGTTAAATGAACAGAAGTTGCAGATAGGCAGAGAACTGGGACACATCAAAGACTTCCTTTCAGAATGCTTGGGCCTACTTACCACTTTGACTGAAATAACTAGGAGAATAGACAACTTGCATTCATATAAAATTCTCTCTAGCACACCAAACGATAACACCAGTAAGGAAAATAAAACCCAACATAATGTGGAAAAAAGGAAAACATCGAGGATCAAAGCAAACCAGAAGGGAAACTTAATTGACCCTAAGAAACCCCTCTTAAAGGGGAAGTGCCCCAGGAATAAAGAGAAGAAGCCCAAGAACGTAAAAATGGGAAGGAAGACAAAGCTTCCATCTCGAACAAAGAAAATGAACCTCACAAGACTACTTAAGCTATTAGAAAATTCAAATCCAACGAACCCAGCTAACCCAGTCCTGCCACCCCTTGATAAAAGCCGAAGTCCATGCCCAAATAAAAACCTCCATAAGGCTGGGTTTTTCAATTCAACAGAGGAACTCCATAAGGCTAGGCTTCATAATTCAACAGAGCAACTAGCGCTCCCGAATGGAACCGCGGGAAAATCAAGAGAAAACCCGATCCCTAAGCAAGAAACTACTCCCAAAACAACATACTCTCGCAGAAATCTAATTTTAAATAAACAAAAACTCATCATCCTACCTGTATACATGCACAAAGATCTCCTTTCTCCAGCACAACAGAGAATTTATATTCTCAAGAAAACTGAATTAGCCGTTAGAGGGTTCGTCCCAGCAGAAAACATCATTAATGTTAAATTTCTGCCATCAGACAAGGACCTAAACAGAGTTGTGGTAACATTCAGAGACTGGCACACAACCAAACTAGTTTCAGACAATAAGGACAAGCTACAAAGGGTTGAATTGCAGGTGACTCACCTATTCGAAGTGTCCGGTACTCCCACTCCTCTCATCGAAACAATCAAGACTGATAAGATAAAAACAAAGCCGTCAATGTCTATGACGGACGAGAACTGTAAGATGCTTCAACTTGAGGCAGACAAAGCCCCAAACCAGCTGGCTAAAAGACCAAAAACCCTATCCCCCTATTACGTACCAGATGAAAGCTCCAACATAGAGAAGGAAAACCGCTTCATAGCAACTATTGAACAAATACATAAAGCTCAGGACGCACTAATTGAAAGATTAGCATCCATAAGGAAATCTATTACACTCCTAGCCACACCCGTCACCAGGGAATTTTACTATGCAACCTATACCACAAAACCTTTATCCAACAGTGAGTGGACACTAAGGCTATTCCTATCACCAGAGGAACTCGGACCTACGGAACCACCTATAACAAAGAAAACAATAACACATCAAGCTGAAATAGCGGTACCACCAGGCAAGAACAGTTCAATCTTTGTGGACAACCTAGGAGCCCTAGACACCATTCACACGCACTGAAAAAAGGTAACGGTGAAAGAACGCCCCTCCGGGACACTAAAATGTGTCCAAGTTCACACCGTGCCAAAATGTCCCACTACACACCCCAAAACGGACATAATGAATGATAAATCCCAAATTGGCTATAAACCTAAGCTTGATTGTCCCATGAGATGTCTGACAACCAAGGATCACAAGCTGACCACCTGTACGTGGAACATCGCAGGGTGGGGGGCTAAAAGCAAAGATCCCAATCTAATGGACTTCCTCACTAAATTTGACATCCTGTTCATCCAGGAAACCTGGTCGATAGACGAGCTCTACCTGGATAATTACCACTCGTGTATTAAAAGAGCAACACCTAGTCAAAGAGGGGCAGACCCAAAGGAGGCTTAGCCTTACTGTTCTCAACGCAGATACAAGCTAATATTATCCAATTACCCTCCAATGATGAATGGTCTGTAGCAGCAGTTTTAGATTTCGGACAAAGCAAACTGCTATGCATAAACTTATACTTACCTACATGTCGTCGGCAGGCACAAGTAGAACAACTATGGAAAGAACTGGAAGCCCATGTGGTGCAATGGAGGAGACAACACACGTCAGCCATGATATTACTAGCTGGTGACCTAAACGCAAGAGTGGGCCCTAACAACAACGCCCTATATGCACATTTTCACCAATGGCCTCCAGAAATGGAAACTATCCCACCCCTAATGATAAGATCATCCTACGATAAGACATGCAACATTGGAGGACTACATTTAGCACACATGGCCTACAGACAGAATCTACACTTACTGAATGGGGCTATACAAGGAGATTATCCTGGTCAATACACATATTGGTCAGGACACAAACTGTTAACGATAGATTATTGCATTGTTTCCCAGGACCTGATCCCTAGGATATCAAAATTCACCATTACAGCAAGAGCTGAAAGTGATCATCTACCTTTATCCCTCGTGTGTGATTTACCCTTTGATCTGCCCAAACCACAACACAGATATCAACCAGATCTAACACCCGGAACAGGCCTCAAGAAAATCAGATGGAACGGACAAGTGAGCGAGCGGATATCTAACTGGTACAAAACTGAGGAGAGCTACCGTCTCTCAAAAGCAATTATGGAAGGGTGCTTAGAAATAGAGGAGAGCGCCCCGAACATGATGACAACATATGAAATGCTTATACAAAAAATTCAAGAGTTTGTTGTAAAACCGAATTCCAAGTCTCCCCACCATCGGAAAACTTCCAGGGGGTGGTTCGATCATGAGTGTATAACCTCCAAGAAATCATTGATCCACTCCTTCATCTGCCACAAGGATAATCCAACAGAGGATAACAGACAAAAGATGCTTGAAGCCAAAAGAAGTTACAAAAAACTTCTGACACAAAAGAAAAGACACGCAATGAAGTTATTATGGCAGCAACTGATAGAGGCCTCCAAATCAAGTAACCCATCATTATTCTGGAGAATCGTAGCTGTACAGCCGGATAGGGGCCTATCACAACTATCCTGCTGCATATCAATGAAAGCCTGGGAAACGCACTTCCATAATCTTTACGAGGAATCTAGCGATGAGTCCTATGCATTAGACATACCAGATGATCAGATACAGCCATGGCCAGCAGTCTCACTAACAGAGACCCATCTGCTGATTGAACAACTAAAGAACGGGAAAGCCCCCGGAATTGACTGTATACCAGCGGAACTACTTAAAATCAATGCGAACTGGTGGGCCCCCTTGCTAGCCTCTCTGTTCACATATATAGATAGAACTGCACAGATCCCATATGACTGGGGGACTTCCATCATTATTCCCATTTACAAAAAAGGCTCGAGGGACGATCCCTCCAACTATAGACCTATAAGCCTCCTGAATATAATAAGTAAATTATACGCTAAACACCTCAGCGAGAAACTGTGCGAATGGATAGAAAGAGCGAAGATTCTTGATGATGCACAGGCAGGATTTAGACAAGGGAGATCCACAATGGATCACTGCCTGATCTTACAGCACCTAGCTGAGAAATACACGTCGCACCACAATCACCACCTATTCGCAGCATTTGTAGATTTTAAAGCAGCCTTTGACTCCATCCCAAGAACTCGACTCTGGGACAAACTCAACAAATCATCCATAGACCGACGTCTGCTGCTACTAATATACAAACTGTACAACAACACACGACTTCGTATAAGATGCAGCCAAGAAGGTCAACTCTCTAATTTCATTAGAACAACAAAGGGAGTTAAACAAGGATGCATTTTGGCCCCCTTTTTGTTCAACATCTATATAAACTCCCTAATAGACCATCCACAAGGAGCGGATACACACGCCCCAAAATTAGCAGACAAAAAACTGCCTATCCTACTCTATGCAGACGATGCGGTTATATTGTCCCAGACTCAGATGGGCCTCAAAAGAGCTCTTAACAGCTTTTCCCAATATTGTAGAGAAGAGAAACTAGCAGTGAACTACCAAAAAACAACAATCATGGTTTTCTCTAACAAAAGGAAAATATACAGATGGAATTTAGACAATCAGGAGATTGAACAAGTGACATGCTTTAAATATCTAGGAGTGATATTCCAAGCATCAAGGAAGAAGACTGCCCACATAAACTACAGCTCCTTTACAGCACAAAAAAGTACAACAGCAATCCTAAGATTCCATCGTACAACGGGAGGAAATTTCATTCCTGCTACAATTAAACTATTCGTTGCAAAACCAACAGCACAAATCCTATACGGCGCACCACTCGTCTCCCTCTCTAATCTAGACCCATATGAGAAGATACAATCAGGTTTCCTTAGATCACTCCTGCAAACACCTAAATGCGTCCCAAACGCCACCCTACGACTGGAAGCGGGCTTATACAGCATTAAAGCCAAAGTATGGATAAGAACCTTATGCACTTGGCTAAGACTTAACAACTCGCCGGTTGGACTACTTTCCCTGATGCTTCTTGACAAATTCCAATCTAGCTGGTTGAAGGGCATTCTCAGAAAACTGGCCACATATGGTCTCTCCCCAGATTATTTATTAAGTTTAGAAAGGGGAAGGGCCAAGAACATAATCAAAGAAAGACTCAGGGACATTGAAACCCAAAATGACTTTAACCAACTTCCGATAACTTATAAACTTCTATACAATACTCAAAGGCCCCATCTAGCAAACTATCTCAAAGTTCTAGACAACGCTAAACACCGATGGGCATTTTCCAGGGCCCGCTTTAACGCTCTCCCTTCAGCTCTTCTAGAGGGAAGATACAATAAAATACCAATCGAACAAAGATTATGTCCCTGTAACAGCAATGAAATCGAAACCATTGGGCATGTCATCTTATACTGCCCATTATATCGAGACTCAAGAAAAGAGCTGATTGAACCGATTCTGAGGAAAATACCTCGTAGTACAGACGACACCTATATCATCATCATCATCCTTTTTATGGCGACGAAGGTAGTTACCAAGTAATTTCGTTTACCCTCATCAAAGTTTTACGTGGTTTTAAGCGGTTTTATCCTCCTTTGTTTTTTATCCGAGAGTTTTAATGATCTGCTGGCTGTGCTGGCTGTCTTTTAATATCGCTCCACTTGTGTTATTTTGTTTTATCTGGGTTGTTCCGACCCCCCCGGATTCGCCGCCACGGCTGCCGCCGCCTCCCTAACTGGGAGAGATAAGTGAAAAGTTTTCCTGGGCATAAATCCTCTGCCCTGTCAACCAGCTATTTCCTTTTAGCTTTTAGCTTACTGCATATTGCGAAGTGAAGTTTGCCCGACTGCTGGAACCGGGCTGTTCCAAAATCCTAGGAACAAGGAAGAGGGGAAGGAAGAGGCTTGAACTGGCTGCCTTACTGTGAGTAATTTTACGGCACCACTCTCCTGGAAGTGGTAGTATTCCTGTGAGGAAGACTAAAGGATTTAAGGAGCTCCCCAACACAGTTAAAACCATCCAGGAAAATTTTAAAACTTAGCCAACACTAAAATGGGCTAAACAGATAGCCCCATATCAATACAGTCAATTATAGTCTTGCGACGCTTAAAAGCTAAGAAGAGAAATTTGGCCACCAAGGAAGGTATAGCTCTAGTGGCGTTATTCAGCAAGTGTAAAACCTGGTTTTCTCCGGGTAGGAAGCTGAATTGACATAGGAGTGGGTCTATAAAATTTTGTCTAAGCTCTGCATAAGAAGGGCAAGTCAAGAGAATGTGTTCGGTGGACTCAACCACACCCATGGCACAATGACAGGTTCTCTGGGTGTATGGTACTCCCTGTACCTTCCCCACAATATCGCAGAGTCAAGGACATTTAATCTAGCCGCTGTAAGAAGTCTACGGTATTCCACATAGTGGATTTCTGCAAGGTAGGGGGCTGGTATGGTCCGATAAATCTGGTCCCCTAGGAACATCCCTGGTTTTACCTGGGCTATGTCCTCTTGTCTGGCAATGTCACTCAGTCTCCGGGAGATCACAGCTCTAGCTTGATTGTATGTCATAGACTCAAAGTAAAGGTGAGACAATCCGCAGGATTGAACCTCATTAATGACCTCCCTTTCCCACGATGATTGGAAATCGTCCCTCAATATCAAGGGGCAATACCCACTGGTTTAAAACAAAGCTTGAGCCATAGCCAGAGCTTCGTCTTCAAGGCCACATACCGTAGAGCTTGCCAGCCGACCTCTAATCTCATAACCGCACCCGCTACCGAGGGGAATCCTAAGGATGGCTCTAAGGAATCGCGTTTGGATAGAATCCAGTTTCAAAAATCCCTACGGGAGCCTAAAGAGATGCCCACCAAAAGAAGGGGGAGGACTTTCATTTGAAAGAGTCTCAAAGCTATCTTCACTGATTGAGCCTGATTCTTAGCATATAGAGATCTAATCTGGATGGCTGCTTTAGATGCGTTAGTTGTTATATAGTCTCTATGGGCCAGAAAAGACCTATTTGACCGTATTATTTGTCCCAGATATTTAAAGCAGTTAACCTGCTCTAGGGGGATCCCGTTCATCGACCA